CACGAAACCGCTACTGATCCGTATCTTAGCGTAGTACTACGAAAGCTCGGGATGGGAGACGAAGTGGTAGGGGCGCTGAAATCAGTTGCCGCCGAACTTTCAGTAGTAGACGGCATACTTTTGAAAGGAACGAAAGTAGTAATTCCCACGAGCATGCGCAGAGAGATGTTAAAGAGGATTCACGCAGGCCACCTTGGCATGGTAAAGTGCAAAGCTAGGGCTAGGCAATTAGTCTACTGGCCGAACATAAACTCTGACGTCGAGTCGTTGATCCAAAGCTGTCCGACCTGCAGAACATATGCCTATAAGCAACCATCAGAGTCTCTGATTCTACAATTAACGCCCACTCAACCATGGTACCGTGTCGGTGTCGATCTCTTTCAGTATTCCGGAAGACACTATCTGTGTGTTTACGATTCGATGTCCAATTTCCCAGAGGTGGAGCTCCTACCCGACACAACAGCCACCTCGGTTATTGATAGACTGAGTGCTATATTTTCGAGATACGGCATCCCAACGGAGGTATGCTCAGATAACGGCCCACAGTTTAGCAGCCACGAGTTCGCGCTGTTTGCAAAGCATTACGATTTCAAACATGTGAAATCCAGCCCGCAATACCCCCAATCTAACGGGCTCGCGGAAAAGGGTGTACAAATAATCAAACGCATCTTAAAGAAAACGAAAGCTGCAAACGAGTGCTTTTGGCTTGGCATATTAAATTACAGGGCATGTCCTGTCGAAGATGGTCGGTCTCCTGGCGAGCTGCTGCAAGGAAGGCGGCTGCGCACACCCGTGCCGGACTTCGATCCCCTTCCTGCGATACGGGTCAAGAAACACCGACAGACAGGCCACAACGAGCGGGTGCTGCCCCGCCTTAAAAACGACAACGTGGTACGCCTGAATGGAGCGCCATGGGCGCGGAAAGCCAAGATAGTTGGATCAGCCGGGCCGCGGTCCTTTTACGTGCGTACGGAGAATAATACCGTACTTCGGCGCAACTGTCGACACCTTTTAGCGACGAAGGAAGAGTGCGAGGTCGACTTGTCAGACGACGAAGATTCGGACAACGACCGGGCCTCATCACATGGAATGACATCCACAGCGCCAACCATCCCGACGGCTCTACAAACGGCAACTACGACGACTCTACAAACGGCAGCTCAGCAGCCAACGGTTCAGCCACCGCGAAGGACAACACGACAGAAGCGGCCTCCGGAGCGATTGGGTTATGACGAGCGCTTCCAGCAAACGAGCCAGAGGTGTTGAGCTCAGCGGTGAACGACCGTTGGGAAGGAGGATGTATCGTATCAGATCAAGGCGGACAAGCTATCTGTATGCTCCATTGCCACGTGCCTTTCCCTTGCCCTCTACTACACTAACCCCTTTCCACCTTCGGCTATATAAGTAACAACACGGAATAAACCAAAGCATTGTTATCCTGATACCCGAGTTGTCTATTCTTACCAGCCCACACAAGAACGATACAGGGGGGGGTCTGACCCCTTCGCTCCCCTCCCCCTTCCCCCCCCCCCCCCCACCCCTAGCTACGTGCTTGGCGTCGCCTAGCGGATGGTGGCGAATACTATGGGTGCTAAAAGCCTCTGAAAAGCCTCCGTGGCTGTTGACAACCTGCCGTGTGAAACTGGTGTGCGTGTAACTATACGGACCACGTGTTTTCTGTTTAGGGTCATTCCATGCCAAACATCCCAGGCATTGTGCCCGATCCTCTCCGATTTTCTAAAATGTTAATAGACTCCCTGAAATATTTTGGTCTAAAAATTTTTTTGTATGAAGTGTTGGCAATTTAAACTTTTAGAAAGCATGTGAAACTAAGTGCTGTTCAATGATTGATAAACATTCAAATTTTTATGAAACACTGCACAATCTTGTTTGTATAATTTACAGAATTTGTGGCTTGCTATGCGATTAAGAATGTGTAATTTTGAAAATTTTAAGCATTTGTTTTTAATTGAAAGAGAATGTGGAAATTACAACATTTCTTTCTTTTAAATGTGCTTAGTTATCCTTGAGAAATATAAAACCTTTTATTGGATGCTTTATAGGTATACTATCTATGAAAAAGAAAGTCAAAACAATCAACTAAATATTTTGCAAAAAAAAAAAATTGGGAAAGTTCTTTGCATACACAGACATTTATTTCATTCTGAGGTGCTCCAAGTGTAAATACAAAACATTGCGGTTTCGACCAACATGTTGATTTTGCTTTGTTTCTCAAACTTTAATCATAATAATTTTTGTTGAAAGCAAAAAACAACTTTGTAGTTGAGCTTCCACACCACGACACAGCGCAATCTCTTAAAGCTTCTGCACCGCAGAGCATGCCACCGTCGACATTATAATTCGTGAAGCTACAGGTTAAAACTGAAACGATTTTTTTATGTCTTAATCGTGTTTCTTCATGGACAAGTCCGTACGAAGTTACGGTGCCCGGTGGGTAGGCATTGAGTTTCCGGGTGTAGGGAGCTCCCGTCGGGTACAAAGGAGGGCGCAGCAGTCCTAGTATGCACTGGTGGCACTTCCGACTATCACACAATATCCGCCGTTGCTTTCTATGCTGCCGGAAAGGTGGACAAGTGGAGGCGAAAAAAAGCAGAAACATTTTTTTTTCACTGTAGATCTCATGTCATCTACTACGTCAGGTGAGGTGCTGTGCCGTGAGGGAGGGATTGAGATGCAACGCTGCATGAGTAGTGTTGGGAGAGCTCAGCTTTAAAAATGTTTTTCTTGCTTTCAAAGGAATGAATTTTGATAAACCTTGCAGGAACAAAAGTCAATAAACACTTCTATCCAACCTAGTATGTTTTCAGCTTGTACTTGAACTACATAAAGAAAAACTAAATGGCTGACTGTGTCAAAAGCACTCTTTTCTGCCATAATGGCGAATGCACATCTACAGCGTTTCTCCAAAGCAGCCGTGTGTACAGTTTGGGATTAATTAAAATAAAACTTCTGACAAAGGTAAATTGCTGTGAAACTGGGTTTACCTTATTCAAGCAGGGGTTCCAATTCGGTGTTTTTCAGTTTCCATCGATTTCGAGAAAAACCTTTCGGGGGTTACTTCTCAGCGTTTCTTGGTATATACCGAAGACACGAAACCCTAATCATAGTGTCGACGGTGGCATGCTGCGCGGTGAAGAGGCTTTAAAGGGGCACTCTGGAGCGTTCTGATATGGTCTTTATGGTTGTAACTCAATCTGCGTGCTCTCGGGATCCAAAAAAATAAAAAAAATTAAATCGTGCAGCTTATTTTTTTAATAAAATGTGATCAGAGATTGCAAATCCCAGACCTACGGATGTCACCACCAATCCCGGCTGAATGTGGTCGAACAACGAGCGGTGCTCGTTAGCCAATCGCGAGCGAGGGCTTTCCACGAGGAAGAGCAGGACTGGTCGGCGGCTCGTCCGCATGGGACGCCATCCCTCGTGATAGGCTGATGAGCGCAGTTCGTCGTTGGACCACATTCGGCCGGGTTTTGTGACGCCATCAGTAGGACTGAGACTCACTATCTTTAATCACGCTTATAATAGGCAAATAAGCCGCACATGTTTTTGGGACGCTTAGAGCATGCAGATTGAGTTACAGTCATAACTAAGCCACCTTAGAACACTCCGGAGTGCACCTTTAAGAGGTAGTGCTGGGTCATGGTGCAAAAGCTCAACTTCAGAAAAGGTTTTCTTGCTCTAAACAAAACTTATATTGATTAAACCTTGAGAAAAAAGGGAAATCAACGCCTCTATCGAACCCACTATGTTTTGTATTTTTACTTGTTATTATTATTATTGTTATTATAATAGATGTTATGGACCTTCGTCCATAACATCTATTATAGTAACCCACTCCTCAAGCTTAAACTATTAAAGCCGCCACACCGTATTTTTCCTCGATTTGACCATCAGCATAAGGTATTACTACAAACATCACATACTAAACTTTTCCAGACGTCACCTCTACAGTTGGCAATTTCCGACTGGAACAAACTTCCAGCCAACATTGTAACTTTAGCAAATGTCGACGAATTTAAAAATGCGTGTGCTCAATACTGCGTAAATTGAAATGTATGTTTTCCACGTGTTTTCATTATATTGTTATTTTTGCATGATGTGTGTTCATATTTTCACTGTTCTGTTTTCCTTGTATACTGTTGAATTTCCCCCCTCATGTATGCCCCCTTGGGGCGCTTGTGAGGTACAAATAAATGAAATGAAATGAAATGAAATAAATTACTGTTTATGCTCAAAAAATGTTTTTCACGAATTTTGAATCTTTTTTCTGCAAGGTATTTAGTTGAGTGGTTTCATATTTCCCAAGAGTAAGTTCATTCACTTTTCAAACAATAAAGAAATGTTCTAACTTTCACATTACATTTTAATTAAAAACAAATACTTTGATTTTTCAAAAATTATGCATTCTTGATTGCATTGCAGGCCACAAGATGTGTAAATTATAAAAGAAACGACTGTTTTATTAAAGGCCTGAATTTTCACCAATCGTTGAATAACACCTAGTTTCACGCACTTCCTAAAAGTTTAAATTGTAGGTAAACAGTACGATTTTTTTTTGACAATGAGAGAGGGTCGAGCGCAATATCTGGGACGCTTGGCATAAAATATTTCTCTATTCTACGCTTCGAATTTCAAATTTTCTGATTTAGACAATTTGCTGGCATATCAAACGGCATCAAAAAAATTGTGGAAACTCGCCTGTGGCACTTCTTTGCTTTGCATATGTTAATTGCGGCTATGCAGTTGCGATAAAAGAGGCACTGCTCGGCCTGCCATATTTCGGCATTGCTCTAACCTACCTAGTTTCTAACCTCAGAGCTTTTAACCCAGGGCATTACAGCAGAATGTGTGAATATTTAGTCAGGAAAATTACGTCAGCAATCTTTTCGGGGTGGGGTGCATTTGGAAGTTTACGACATGTAAACAGCGCAATGTTTTGGCACCAACAGATCTTTTTTTTTTACGTATGATTTCAGGCGCAACGTTCTTTAAGTACCCTTGTGTTGTCTGGGACGGTGTTCTGAGCAGCCCTGGGCCCTGCATGGTGCAGGTCGAAAATCAGCTGCTCAAGGTCGACCACCCAGTGCATGCGATTCTGGTCGCATTCTGCCTGCTCTGGGCGGTTGACATGTGCTACCAGCCTGCCGCTATGGGCTTTTATTCCCTTGTTGAGCACCTGCTGGGGCTGCCGGCCACGAAGCCAGCAGGAATGGTGCTGACGACACTTTCAGCAATGAAAGAGGCATTGAAAAAGAAATAAAATCGCTGCAGTCGAGTGCAGTGACAACTTGGGCAAACTGTCTCCTTATTTCGTGATGATATACAGTGCCAGTGTATAACCACTTGAAACTTTGTATTATCAGGTGGGAGATTTCTTCGTAGAGGGAAGAGTTTTTATCCAGCAGCAGAAATGGTTAGAAAATTTGCCTTCGAAGTGGAGGGAATTTTCACCGTTAGTTGAAATAAGTGGGAATTTTTCTCCTGTCAAGATAGAGAAAATTTCCTCTGTAGCCAAGGTATCGGTGTGAATTTTCTTTCCTGCTGAAGAGAGGAAATTTCCACCATACCAAAGAAATATGTGGTAACTTTCGTTCTTTCCGAAAGGGGGAAATTCCCTCCCTAAGAAAGAAATAGGTGGGAACACTCCCATGTTCTGAAGAGAGGAAATTTCGACCATACTATAAAAACGGGTGGCGATTTTCCTCCCTCCTCAAGAGTGGAAATTTCCCCCTTCCAAAAAAATAGGTGGAAAATTTCCTCCCCATTGAATGGAGGAAATTTCCTCCTTATGTAGGGTGGCAAATTTCCTCCTTTTAGAGAGTAACATAGGGGACATCTCATTTCCTCCCTTTAGGGAGGGAGTAGTTAGTACTCCCTTTTTTTAGAGTGAAGGATGTCAGACATGTAAATATACTATGTAAGCCAAAGTGCCGTTTTACAAACATGCCCGCGTTCGCCCACACCAGGTGAGGTCACTGCGCATGCGCAAAAACCATATTCGCTCGAGGTAAATTGTGCGCACATCCGCTCTGTGGTCAGCAGCGCCACTGAAGAGGTGTGACGCCAGAGCCGCCACATATATATATATATATATATATCTAATAAATAAAGCCTCGCTCATTTTGATCTGCAGATAAAAACGAAAAGTGCAGAATAATTTTTACGATTTTTTTAAGTTTAACGTGACTTTTAAAACGGAACAAGGGAATATTAGCTTGTCAGAAGAATTATATTTTCCGAAAACCGATTTGTATATTACAACATTAACTAAAATCAAACTGATTTGCCTGAAAAACAATAAACATTTCAGTATGATTGGCAGCAAATATTTCAAGATAACTTTTCTACACCGTACTGTTCTAAAACACAAAAAAAACTAGAGCAATGAATACGATTAAACATATTAAAGTAACAAACATAGTTCAATAGAATAACACATATGTATTATTTGGGTAGTTACCACATTAATCTTCTAAAAGCACTCACAGCTTCTGAAAGACATGTTCAGGCGTTTAACTTTATGATTCGTTCTTCGGCGAACTTATATCGGACAATGTCGGAGAGATAATAGGATGTAAACAATACTTAGAAACATCTCACTATTATATTGAAACAACAGATAGATCACAAAAAAACTTGGGGTTCTCTCTTTATTATGAGATTTTATGTCCTAAACAAAGTGGTTTTTAGGCACTTGACAACGCTTTGAAATCCTTTTTACCGCCGAAAATAAAAATCGTTTGGATTATTGAATATAGTCTGGTACAGTCCCTTATATGAAATGGTTGTTAAACCACGCAGGCAAAAGCGCAAAACAAAAAAAAAAAATCCTCAATACAAGTCGTCGGGTTAATTACGAGTGTTATGACACTTAAACAATAAAAAGGTAGCATTTAAACAAAAAAAAAAGATGAAAACCGCTGTAAAACTACAAGTTTTAGTGGAATAGTGATAAGACAATCCTTTCTTTTAGCTTTCGTTTAAACTTTAACTAAGCTTTAGCTTAAAACAATGTATCAAAAACAAATTTGATGAAACCCAAAGCAAGATAAATGAAACGAGCCCCCACCCAAGGTACCGGAACCGAAACTACAGCAAATTTTTTTTAGAAAGGGCAGGCGTAAGTTTTAGCCAATCCCCGTTCTTATTAAAGATGGCTGCTTCCGGTTACGGCCGGAACTGCGACTGGAGACACTTCCACGTGTGGACGCAATTAAAGGCGAGAATATTTATGCAGCATGCTTGTAGAAGATTCTTTATGTGTCCGGGAGTCCAGTGACTATTGGTACCGCTTACACAGTATTCGACTTGCTTAACGCTTAAATGTGGTGGTACGAGTGTTATGACCGGCTGGCCAGCTTCGGCTTTCTCTTTCAAGCCATAACCGCTAAAACTACCTTGGAGTGACGATAGTGCTCCTGATTTCTTTTTCGCTTTCACGCCGGCGCCTCTTTTCTCGCGAACTGTCGAAACTAAACAGTCTGGAAACAAGATTGCTTCATCGGTGGGAAGTTTAGTTTCTTTTCTTTTTTTTTTCTTTTTGCGTCATAAGCTTAAGCATCCATCTGAATCTGTGTATCGCTTTAGCATCGTCGCTGTTTAACAATTTAACTAGCGTTCTCAGCACTAGTTCTTAAGTTGTCTTCGCTTGACAACAAATTCGGCGTAAAAACGAGGACAAGAGTGGGACAGAAACACGGCGAAGTATTTGTCTCCCTCTCTTGACCTCGTCTTTTGCGCTGAATTTGCTGTCATGAATTACTGAGTAGCGCAATTACGAACCCTTCACTTCCAGCCATATAATTTCTATGATTTTATTTTGAACGTAAGCTTTTGTGTTTCTTCATATGTGTTTCTTGCTATGATATGCGTTTCTCGGCACGGTGTTTCTTGATTTGATGTGCGGGGCAAATGTTGTCTTCCAGTAGGTAGGACGAACTGTACATACTTCGTAATTCTTCACGGAATCGCGATTATGCGCCAGTCTCGTGTTTTCAACTTTTATCATGTTACATAATTGGAAAACAGATAAAAAAAATCGAACAAGTACCTGGGCCTTGCTTTTGCTACCGTGATTGCTATGAAGATCTAAAGTATTAATTAGAAGATCTGGACCAGTTTAGAGCGCTAACCCAGGTAAAGGAATGCATTTCTTACAAAGCCCGAATAGTAAACATTGTTCAAGGTGTTTTCCATTGAATACAACTAATATTACCCCTTCTTTTTGCTATGGATCGAGTTTATCTGCTGTAAATGTGGCTAATAGGTTTGTTTCAAAGCTCAAATAGCTAACTAACGAGCATGAGTTCTTGCTATTTCATCTAGTGTGTTGACTGCTTTATGCGATTTTTTTATTATTTATTATATTCAAATGTTCGAATTTTAAAAAAAAAATCAGAAAAAAATGTCATAGCCGTTGCGCTGGGTTCTTGTCAATGTTCATGAAAGTAAACTTCACAATGTGAATAAAAAGTCATTTGTTATTTGGCACTTTCGGAGTTTTTAATTTTTTTTATTAGAGTATTACCTGCCTTGAAAAGTGTATGGATGATTCAATGCCGGACAGGCCTTTTAGATATTTTGAATAAATAAATAAATCTCAATACTTGTGGGAGCCGAGGGTGAAGGACGAGGCAGAGGGCACGTGACAGGCGGTCGGCTGAGAAAGACAGTGCGAGCTGAGCGAGGCTGGAGCTGGACAAGGAACGTCGAAGCCAAGCTGCCTGGCCTGGCCTATGGCGAACCCCGGAGCGGTCCACCAGCAAGGTCTGGAGCAAGACCGGTGGAAACGGCGAGCCCTGGCCATGTGGCCTGGGCTATGACCATCCCGGGGTGGTTCTGCAGCGAGACTCGGGCATTGATAGCCCGGGACAGCCAGCCTACGCAGCGCTGGCGTGGGAAAAGCGATCCGCAGGCCTGGACACGGACTTAGACTGTGAGCTCTGATCGACGGGCGACGACAAGGGTCGACCGAGAGGTACAGTAAACCCATTCGCTGTCTTCTCCCTGCAGTGTGTAACTCCCTGGGTGACGGGCGGAGCGCATACCGATCGGGCGGCGATTAATAGTAGAGGGACCTCCGTAAAGAACCCCACATACTCCAGGATTCATGGGTCATGCTCATTCGCCAAAAGTTCAAAAATGAGAGACGGAAGCTGGAAACTGACCATGTGTGCGCAAAACGATTAAAGTTCGGCAGCAGTGGGAAACAACCAAGGGTGGCTGTCGACACCGCATCAATGGAGTTACAGCGGGGCAAAGTTGGCGCAACATTGGAAGATGATTCAGAACTCCACATAACGCACATGTGTTTTTTAAGAAAGTAAATTACAATAATCGTCCTTGTTTCATCCATATGCAGTCCCAAGGCTTGGCTCCCAGCGGAGAAGACGAGTATACAGTCTCACACAGCATGAGGCCTGGTTAGTCACGGAGCGGACCAAACCGAACCCTGAGAGACAGCAAATGTGCTGCAGCCTTGAGTTGACGCATTCCGCAAGGGTCAAAGACTTGTGAAAGTTATCAAGTACTGAAGCTATAGACAAGTATCCATAACTCAGGGACATTGAATGGGTGAGTAGTTTCTTTTGGTACGCAATAGGTAGAAGGGCTTTACTTAGATGAACCAGCTTAGACAGAGCTGTTCTTTTTTGTAACAAGCTGTAATTTTACAAACGAGTTCTCTCGTCATATTAACTGAAGAGCGTGTTGGTAACAATGAACCATAGACATTTTTTTTTCACTGAAACAATTTAGCATGCATAACATAATGTAAAATTTAACTCCAAGACTGAAAAAAACAAGGACGTAAATACTCGAAGGCTGTGTGTTGTGTCGTCCTTCATTCTTCCTCAGTCTCTCAGTTTTGTCCTAAATTATGCTCAACCGTCACCAGCTAGTGTGCGTCCTCACTTTTGTTCATAACACATTTGTGAAAACTTTAAAAGAAGGGTAGAGAGGGCTTCAGCAAACTTCTTTTAGGTTAATGTGGGCACAAGTTGTTGGCACAAGCAACGGTTTCTTACAAACAACAAAATTACTTCTCAGAATTAATGTTTTGCATAATTTGTTCAGTCACACACCATTTTAGTTATGACGTTTCTGTCTTTAATATTACCGAAAGTAACTAGCCTGAACCAAGGGTGACAATTTTTTTCGTTCATTTTTACGTTTCGGAGCTGCACTATGTCTATTAGCAATCTACTTCGGGAATACAGTGCAACCTTTAACGTTCGCAAGTTCTATATTGCCGCAATATTGGC